AGGAAGCAACCAACTTCAATGGGACAAAGCTGGACTAGGCTAAAGGTGGAAATACACTGAGGAAAAAGAAACTCTGTAGCTGAACACAGGAATGAGAAGAGCATTGTTCCTGGAAATAATGGCAAGACTCACCTAAAGACTGGAGCTAGAAATCTAGTGGGACAAATGCTGTAAACTATTACTGCATTCAGAGTGATACTTAAGGAGGCAGACAGGACAGGACCAGTAGGGATAGCAAAAAAGAGGATGTGATTGATCCTTCTATGTTTTTGTGAAGCAAAGCCTCATACACTTACTATTCACACTTCCAAGTATCAGTCCTCTGTGAAACCGCAAACAGCTTTGAAACTCACTAAAAAAATCCCATAACTTATTCTTGTCAAATGACTCTGGCTATATAGAGAATAGCCACCTACACTATGCATATAAGGCAATTTTGCTCAAAAGAGCAAGATTTTATATAGCGAATCTAAAGATTCTGAACCACCTCAATATCAACACGACAGCGTGCAAGTAATTCTTTTTTGCTGTTTTTCTCCTGTTTCTTATTCTAAAGGACTATGAAGTTGCATCCAAACTGCAAAGTCAGAACATTAAAATTACAACAGGTAAGTACTCCAAAGTTAGTAGATGCCGCAGTTATATACATGCTTGCACGTGTCGCCTGTGCAAACACATTTCAGCTCATGGTGCACTTACGTTAGATACCCTGTTTCATTATCCTATTTTTCCACGGGACATTTTGCTATTCAGCACATGACTCAGTATATGCAGTGGTGATGAATCAGAGCTGTGTAATGAAGAAGCTGTCATCAGTAAGACTCCTGCCTCACTCATTCCAGCAACTAGAGTCTGTGTGCTAAAGAAATCAAGACACAAAACTAAGAGAGGACAATAATATCAAGATTGCTATGACTGAAAGTCGGAGAATTAAGACTTTGATCTTTGTAATTGCTACAGAAATTGTGTTAAACTGAAGAAGTCACATAAGCAAAGTTTATCATGACAGGTCACTACTTTGTTCTTCATCCTCCAGGAACTCAACTTGAATCACATAGGGAATGAGTTGTAGAAGTGCTGAGCACTCACAGCTGCATTGGATAGCAATGAATACTATGCTCTGAAAGTGTGAAGTGCTCTATCGTGCTGTGTGTTCTGTACACAAACAGCAACAAAATACATCCTTGATAGTGATTGTCTAGGCAGTGGGCACAAACTGAAACAGGAAATTCTACCTGAACACAAGAAAACATTTATTTTTATGAGGGTGGTTGAACATCGAAACAGGTTGCCCAGAGAGGCTGTGAAGTCTCCATCCTCGGACATATTCAAAACCTGACTGGACACGGTCCTGGGCAATCTGCTCTAGCTAACCCGCCTTGTTCAGTTAGACAAGATGATCTCCAGAGGTCCCTTCCAACCTCAACTACTCTGTGATTGTACTGGACAATGTAGATCAAAGAATTCTGAACAACATGAACACCTAAATAAGAACATGCTTTACTTCAGCCTCACTTTTCTCCAATTCCTCAACAGTAAACTGGAAATCAAATATCAATTCACTACACTAGAAGTAAGGACAGAAATTCTTGTTTGTGAATCACTCAGAGGTAATAATGAACACTAGGGAAAACTCTGCGAAAAAAACAATAATTCTATCATCATGGCAGGGTTCGAATAATACAAGGGAGGTAGAAAAATAGCCAACACAACAATAAAGATAAAAAACTGCAGATGTAGTCAGCACCAGCAGGATTCCTCTTCCTGTTCTTTAGTATCTTAAGTATTATGCATTGTCTGAGGTATTAAGAGCTTCTATAATGAATCAGAAAAGAGAAGCTCCAAGGAAACTCCATCTGAGAAACTTCTCTGCTTTGAAGGTAAGATAGAGCCTAGACAATTAGATCACAGGCCTAGCTTTTATACAGCTAAACTTAGGCAAGATTAATACCCTCCTAAATGAGTACTCCCATGCACTGGAACAAGGCATGGCTCCTATAATAAAATAAATAAATAAATAAATAAATATATAAAAAGCATGATACCTTGCAGTTAAAAGACTAAATGCTTACGCACAGAGAAATTCAGTTTTTGCACACAAAACCTAGCATTTCCTAAATCCCTGAAAACATGACTTGCAGTATCTTTTGTGTATAATACAGAAGAAGAAAAGATTTGGTTGCTTTATAAAAGGACTCTCTATGACAACACACTTTTCCTGTTAGCGGAAAAAATTCCTTCCCCCCCACATTGTCACCTCTGCAGAGCACTGACTGTGGTTAAATGCCCCAATTCAGTATGGTAATTCACTAAGAATTATGATTCATTAGGCATCACCATAAGAAAACATAAAAATGTATTTCAAGAAATATTAACAGGAATGTAATTAAAACTGGATAATCTTTCAATCCTGTTATCACGACACGCAAAACTTTCATTTCCTGAAACAAATACTGAACAAATAAAATGATTCTCTACCCTGAGCAATACCAAAATAATCCATTATACTATTGTTAACTCTGAACCATAGCACCTTGCCAACACCTTTTTTTACTATGAAGAGAGTGTATTCACTTGCAGCTGAGTGTAGCAAGAAATGGTTGTTCTTAGAATGTGTTTGCTATCAATGCCAACTCCTTGGAAGTCTCTAAAAAGCACTTTTGTCACACAGGGTTATGAATACACACTGTGAGAACTATGTCAGCGCAGTTCTCATGGGCTGTGGACTTTATAACCCTCTATTCCTTTCCATTCAGCGAGCTAAGGGAGGGTGATGAGGCCTGAAGAAAAAAGGAGTGTGAATGATGAAACGTAGACAGTGTACTTGCAACTTAAAGGTGATTTTGTTGTTGTTGTTTTTAATTGAAACCTGTGCTCAGAGGAATCACACATCCTATGCTGGCTGTAGCTGAAAGAGATGAGGGCACTTCCAACAGTTGGAACCAAGCACCTATGAAGGGTTTCCATCTGCTCAGATCTGACAACATAACTGCCGAAGCAATCACTTACTAGCCTGCAATAGTTAAAACATTCCTGGCTATAAAAAGATAACCCCTTAAGGTATTTAAATAACTCTATATCATTCTAATTTAGAAAACAGTAACTCAAGCTGTCAGCTTATGGATCCGAGGGGATACGGACAGCAAGCAGCTGGAGGTGCGTTAGGGCTGGAAACCTCTTAAAATATCTTGAGAGAGAGAGCATGAGAGTGCCTGAGTGCAAGAAAGGAAACATTAAAACACCCTGTTTGTTGAAAAATTAGACACACTAACATGATTTTTAGGCAAGATTATGAATTAATCGATAAGGATTTTAGAATGATTTCCTCAAAAAACGTGTGCCTTGTTACCAACATGAAGAAACTAGTGAGGTTCCTTACCTGTAGTAGAGCGACAGGCTTTGTTAATAAGTTTACATGAAAGATAAATAGCGGAGTTGAGACGCTATTAGGTTTTCCTAAGATAGGCACATATATGATTTCTCTGAGAGTCGTCTGTTTTTAACCTGCTCTTCTCACTTCTCAAAAAGTCCACTACTAACCTATCACAGATGTGCAACTTTTCAATTCTTCTATTTCATTGCTCTGCTTTCTACAGTTGGTGAGCTTTTTGCAACAACTGCAGTTAAAATACATATATTGTAAAATATATATTTTGATTTCAGAAGCAAGAAACACATTTCTGCCTCCGCTGAATTTCAGAAACCAACACCATCTGTGCAACACTTATCCTACTGGAGAGAATCTGAAAAGTAGCATAAGACTTTCCCATTCAAAGTTAAATCAATGAACTTCCACGACTGGCAACAATGGATTTTGGTTAGGCTTCAGAGTCTAAATTTAATATATAATTACTGCAGAATTAGACTAAGATGACTAAGGAAGCTTCATATTAACCCTGAAGAGGTTAGCTAGTTTCTCCTCTCAATTGTAAATACATATAATTTATATAAATAACTAACTCTCAAAACTAAAGACTGTTTTTGAATCTTAAGTTCTTTCTAATTAATTACAGTGGCACCAATCTCCATTACTGGATAAATCTTACCATTTTTTAAACTTAGTGCTATGTTTTTTTCTTTTCTCTCCTACCACAGACTATCAAAACTGACATGCTCTGTACTATTGATCTTTACCCCTTTCATCAACATTTCATACAATCCTAAATTTCCCAGAATTCTCAAGTGTTTACTTATGCATCGAGTTGTTTTTTAAACAGCCTCTTTCAGAATATTTTTCACTTCTGCTACATTTATTTTAAGTAAACTAAAAAAATAATTACATATAGTTATCTTGCAAATTAATACATAATATGGTATAATCATTTCTTCGATACTATTCTGCACTTCCTTCCAATTATGGTGCACCATTCCAAGACATCCATTCAGTGTCTCTGTACTGCAGCTCCCCTTCCCTGCAGAGTTGCAAACTAGCAGATGCAGTACCACAGATATCAACACTATATCCTTTGCGGCCTTTGAGCCTTGTAAATACTGAGTAAAGCAGGAAGATAACAAAGAAGGAGCTAAGAGCATATTGCACTAACAATCTCAGTTAGTTTATATTTACTTGAGTAAATCTAAACTGCTCCATGACAGAATTTCTGGATCAGTTGTTCATTTAATTCTAATAGTTTGAATAGGAATAAATTTTGCCTATTTTTGTCAGTTAAATTCTATGCATCTGTAAGCGTTACCAAGTGATTTTTGTCAACCAGCTTAACAAACGTTCAAACACAGCAAATGCTGTTCTGGAGCTACCGTAACCATGTCTAACACTTTTCTAAAGAGGGATAACAGATAGTGCTTTTTTTTTTTAATTCTAAAAATTTGATATCTAATTTCCAATTTTGGTCCAAAGCATAACCATAGCTCAATTGTATTGATTAACTGCTTTATTCAATGTCTGCATGCTTGAATTTCAGTTTATGAAGAATTAAATTTTCTCTAGAGTGCTATCTCTCATTGCAAAAAAGCAAGAACATTAAAAAATTAGTACTTACCTTTATTCTATGAAATCGAACAATATCTCCAATTTTGTAAATTTTTGGGAGGGAATCTAGATTTCCACGAAAAAGAGTGCATGTTAACTTTGCATTTGATGGGTCCACAAGTGTTACAACTGAGCAGTAATCTGTAAAATACAAAAGTGTTTGAATGAGTAATAGGTGTTATGGACTGATTAATATCCAGATATTAAAGTTACGATGAATGTCCATATAGCCACATTTTTCTGCTACGACCGGTATAACCCTTCCGAAATCAGTTTAGTTATAACAGCCTAACAACAGAAGCATGGCCCTTTGTACAAATCATTAGCACAAGTGGCTGAAAATGAATCGGTTGATTAAGCACAAATCTGTGAGCCAAGAACACACAAAATTTATTCTTCTGTCCTTCTCTGAGATTTATATCTGTCTTCTGAATAGACAACGAGCTCTGCAAGTTCTAAAAGCAAATGAAAGCATTAATCACTTATCTTTCACTTCACCAAAATATATAAGCAAGATACACACTGCAAGGATACCGCCAGAAAGTAGTACTCAGAAGGTATAATAAGAATCTAAAACGTGCCCTTTTAAGCTTAAACTTTGGTAACAGATTTTCACTTTCATCAGTGACCTACGAGATCAAACTCAATACAAGTACACAGCTATGACAAAGCAAAATGGCCCAAAATACAGCAGAACCTGCAGATAACATAAAAGAAACATGTATTTTACATTTCAGGTTATAGAAGCATGTATGTTCATATATCTCACAAACATACAGGGGAATGAAAGTGCAAAGTGACAGTCTTTTATAGCATGGGCAGACTGGTTAACCTGCCTAAGAACTTTTCAAATAACCAGTATCAACTTGGCTATATATTTAAAAACCTTAATATCTGCAAATCTAGTTCTAGTTACTTTTAATCAAGAAGACAGAGTGCTTTCCAGCTGGATACTTATTATGCCAATACTTATTAAAATGTACAGTTCAGGGCTGAATTACAACTTTTTAAACAGAGAAGCAGAGCAATAACATCATAACCTATTAGTTCTACCTTGATATCAACCTTCAACTATAGATTTATTTTGGATTGTGAATGAAATGGTGCTGCTAACTGTTGTTCATTCTTACCAAAAAAGTACAAATCATAAGATCTGAATTACTCAAAAAGCCTGAGCAACTCTCCAATATCTTAATCTACTTTAACTCACATTTTTACTTTCACAAATCTCATTTAAGAGTATAAAATGTCATTATAATTCTTAGTTTATCCATACTGCTATCCTGAGTATAAAATGCAGATATGTGGTTTAGAAGCAGGTACTATTCCTCTACCTAAAGCATTCATTCACTCCTTCTGTTATGATCCTACTGTTATAGGTCCCTGTTAAAATGAAATGTTCTTTGCCAGTCTTTATGCTGCATTTTGATAGTGGCCAACAGTAGAATCCCAATACCCTAAAACAAAAGTAGTTGTAACTCTCAGAAATACAAAGACTTGTATACATTCTCTTGAGGTATCAAGAAAGGGAAAGCTGTTCAAGACATCAGACTCTCTAGGCAAAGTAACAAAGACATGAACATAATGCAGCAGGCATTATCAAATCGATATTAAAGAAGTAAAAGTACCAAAACAAAATTACCAAAGCAGTTTATGAATTTTATGCTAATTGGTATTTGAACAAACTACAGAAACTGATTATATAAAACTGAAACATGAAACCACTGATAAGAAGCTTCTTGCTTGCTAGTGTGACCTTTCTCAACTTCTATAATGGTGAAATTAAACACCAGAAGACTTTATAAATGAAGTTCAAGGATTTAACCAGTCATTGCCACTTGACTTCAAAATATCCGCGTAAAGAATGCTAAGATGTCCATGCTGAAAATAAGACTAGCATTCATCTTACAGAAATGTTAATATCGGGTATTTCCTAATGGAACAAGGAAGCTACAAAATTTTATTTAAACTGACATAGACTGTGATAGCATCATCAACCTATCGTCTTTCAAAAGGCAAATACAGTTTGACTAAATTTTGTATAGCAGTATGAAAATAGCCTATATCAAGTCCTATATTTTGTAAAAATATAAACAACTGTGCAAACAATCTGAAAAACAATTCCTAATAAACTTGAAGTATGGGACATCTTTTCAATTCACAGAAATAAGCAAACAAAAACCCAACAACAACAAGCTTCCCTTAGATGTAACTTGCCAGTCCTTTAATAATAATGACACTAAGCTGGAATTTGCATATCTGGGCACTGAACAAAGGTGTTACACGAAGCACTAAAACAGAGTTGAAAATATCTCCATCACACATTTTATAAATAGACAGAAACAAATAATTTGCTGCTAAACCACTTTGAAAATGAGAATATCAATTTACTAAAACTGGCAGATTTGTATTATACAAAAAGCTAAAGGAAGGCAGTCAAAAAGAGACAAGTGTTGTGTATAAACTTATGGTGAACAAATTCCCCAAACATGAGGAAGATAGATCTGTTAGACTAGATTAAAACATACACTTGTCTGTCCACTGACTTCAAAAGAAATACTCCTGCTGTGTTGGGTAAATATGCCCTTTAATACTTAGAGATTAAACTTAAAAATTCAAACTCTATAACAAATTGAGTGAAAAAGTGTTAAAAGATAGCTAAAGAAGGCTTACTAATACAAATAAATCCCATTTTCTTATAAATGTAAGAACAGTAGTATTTCCATTAAGAGGGTATTTTTTTCCTCCCATTTACTTTTACAGTACCTCAATAATGATGTATTCTAATCTATTGTACTTACACATGCCTAAATGTCAGTCTTTCGCATATTACTGCACAAGACTCCAGTAAGGAGTCAGATGATCACCCAGTCTTGTGTTCTATTCCAAGATATGCAGACATGGAAGTCAGTGGCTGATCTGAAACTCTAAGTATCTACTATTGTAATACAAAGAGGGATGGTTTCATCTCATTGATTACAAATTCTAACTTCAAAAATTAGCAGCACAATGCTAGGATGTTCAAAATAAATCATAAAGAGAAAAGAGAACCCATACTGTTCATAGATTTATGCTTTTGTGAAGACAGAGGATAATGCATTACAATGCACAGACATTATCCAACACAGGAACCTAAAGTGAAATAACAAAAAATCTTGCACATTAAAATTGTGATTACTGTTTGATACTGTGATTATATAACCTGGCCAGCTTCGTGCATGCAGCTGCCTATGAAAAGGGGGAAAAAGTCAACATTCCCCCTCCATTTTTAGTGCAATCAGTATACTCAAAAAGACCAACATTAACCCTACTGAAAGTAGCATAAAATATGGCCCTGTTTTACAGGGCTCTGTGCCATATGAAACAGTACATCATAGCACTGTAGAAAAAGGTTGGAAACTGGTCAGTTCTCGTAGAAGGAGAAAGGCTCTTGCTCCTCCTCAAGACTTGGCTTGGAGGAACAGGTTTAGCACCCTCCAAGCTGAGGAGGAGCTGGGCATGGCTCCAAGGGAAGCAACTGGCTGGGCAGACCCCGTGCCGTGCAGGAACCCCCGGAAGAAGCGGCAAGTGATTGTTGTGGGTGACTCCCTGCTGCAGGGGACAGAGGCACCTATCTGCCAACCTGACCTCTTGTCCAGAGAGGTTTGCTGCCTGCCAGGGGCTCGAATAAGAGATGTCCTGGAAAGACTGCCAAGGCTTGTCCATGCATCAGACTACTACCCTCTGCTGCTCTTCCATGTGGGTGCTAATGACACGAAAGGCAAACTGGAAACCATCAAACGGGACTTCAGAGCTCTGGGAATGGTGGTCAAGGGTCTGGGAGCCCAGGTCGTTTTCTCCTCAGTCTTGCCTGTGAGGGGGAAGGACGGGAGCAGGAGTAGACGAGTTTTCCAAGTTAACAGCTGGCTGCGACTACTACCCTCTGCTGCTCTTCCATGTGGGTGCTAATGACACGAAAGGCAAACTGGAAACCATCAAATGGGACTTCAGAGCTCTGGGAATGGTGGTGAAGGGTCTGGGGGCCCAGGTCGTTTTCTCCTCAATCTTGCCTGTGAGAGGGAAGGACAGGAGGAGGAGTAGACGAGTTTTCCAAGTTAACAACAGGCTGCGCCGCTGGTGTTGGCAACAGGGTTTTAGTTTCTATGACCATGGGACCCTGTTTGAAGATCAACAGCTGATGGGGAGCGATGGGATCCGCCTTACCAAGCGAGGCACGTATGTCTTTGCCAACAGATTGCCCAGCCTGGTAAAGAGGGCTTTAAACTAGGCAGGATGGGGGAAGGGGAGTGGTATAGTGGCAGAGTACTCAGTAAAACAACACTCAAGTCAGGATGCCTCCAGCGGGTGCATGCAGCCAGGGGAGACAGCATGGGACATGGCTCTGGAGGATCCTCTTGCACCTCTCCTGGGAAGCTTACCTGCTCGATCCTATGCATGCACCTCTGCATGCAGCATGGGGAATAAGCAG